TTGGGCATTGTCTATTCACGTTCTGATTACGCTGGAGTATTTATGTATTTATCTAATTAGTAATCCATATTTTGGCCATAGAATTCTGCAGCTGCCAGACTTAAACTTTAAAATGCAATAAGCAGTGGAAAACAACAATTTAATTGATTTTCTTCATTATAAATCTATTCTCTGAATTCATATTAATTATATTCTGCTGCCAGCAGTATTCCTTAGCAGTGAGCCCATAAATTGTTTGCCTTAATTCCAGCCACAAATGTTGACTCTTAATCGTTGCTTGAGTCCTGCTGCCGCTGTTGTTGCATTGTTGCTTCTGTTGCAAGTTCCTTTCCTTCAACATCAGACATGTCTGAACTATCTGAAGTGCCTTGTGGCCTGCACCTTGATCGGCGTTTTCTCAATTATTGCTTGTGCAGCTTCCTCGTAGATTGCGCTGTGGCTGGACAGGTATTGTTCTTTGTTTGCCACGCTGAGATTGAGAGAGAGAGAGGCGAATGGTTAAGGAGGCACAGCAGTGGACACTGGCAAACTGTACGCTAATTGACACCTGGCTCGACTCGACTCGACTCCCCACTGAACTCTGAACCCCCGATAAGATGTGAGGGAGTGGGGTGGGGCAAGGGCTGTGTGTGGATAGGCAAAAGTTTTCGGTTTTCGGGTTTCGGCTTTCGTTTTGGTTTTTTCCTTTCCCTTTTTTTTTGTATGCCATTCTCCGTTGCATGCCCGCAGGCGTTAAGCTCTGCTGCAAATATCATTTTGTGGGCAGGGGCGTGGGTGTGGGCGTGGCACTGAGCTGCGTTCATTGAGAACAAAATGTGAAACTTTTTAATTGACTTTTTCAATTACAGTTTAATTTTGTTGTAAGAAATGTTGGGGCACTGCCAATTGAAGTTTTCCCTTGGCCAAGTGCATGGCCAAAAGAGGAACAGTTGGGCGGGGAGAGTGAGGTGGAGTGGGGGGGAAGATGATGCGGGTCTCAGTCTCCGGCTAATCTATCATTGTCCGCCAATGAATATGTGTGTGTGGCATGAGAGTAATGTGTGTCTGTGTGTGTGTGTGTGTGAATGTGTGTGTGTGTGTGTGTGTGTGAATGTGTGTGTTTGCAATTTGCAAAACTTCAGAAACACGCACAGGCGGAAGGCGGCAGGCGGCAGGCGGCAAGCAGCACAGCCATCTCAGCATCATCAACTTCTTGCCCCAAACCCATGCATGCCACTGCCCCCTCTTTGGACACTTGGAAAATCTAAATGTATTTGCAACATGAAGGAACGTCCTGTTGCTGGTAGCCGAAGCTGCAAATACCCTAGAAAATGAGTATTATTTTTTTATGGCATATTCCATTTCCATTTATTTCCCATCGTGATCATCATAACAGGAGGCTTTCCTCTCTCTTCCAGTCGCATGTGGGCACAATTAATGCATTAGAAAAATGTTCCCCTGATTCGGAATGTCCCCTCTAAAAGGGTGCACTGGAAATATCATTTTGTGGCCCCATCGCTGGACATCATGAGGGTGAAAAAAATGCCAAAATGCATCAAGAGCGGGGCAACATAGAGTGGAAACGAAGTGTAGCAAGTGGCGTGGCCGAGGCAGATTGCATCTTGGAAAACATTTCCTTCAAGCACTTTTTATTATAGCCAAAAAAAAGCAAAGGAGAAAACTGAGGGGCCAAAGTGAAAAAGTTGTTTGCCAAGGAAAAAGTTTCTTTTGGGTTGCGTTCCTTGTAGCGACGAGAGGAGAGTCTTACAGCCTCGGGAGATGTGTGACAGGTATGAAGAGTGCCCCAAAGAGTGCCCCAGAGTGCATAACTGATGGGGCAGCAGCGCCACTTTAAGCAACAAAAATCAGCCGCAAAAATTAGCCACCACAAACGGAAGGGCAGAGCCATGTCCAATGGAATAATTTCGCTGCCACATGGACACATGATGCATTGTCTGTTACAAGAGCGGGTAGCGGGAGTGAGGAGAGGGGAAAGGGTTGGTGTGTGTGTGTGTGGGGGTTTTTGTATGTGCCAAAACAAACATGTTACATTTATCTTTCTCGGGGATAAAAGCAGACAAAAAACGAACCAAAAACACAGCACAAGGGAGTCGACCGGGGCGTACCTCCAAACAGCAGCGCAAACACTGGCAAACACTGGCAAACAGTGGCATAACTGGCACAATAATATACCCCATGATTCGAGGGTAGCAGCACACAAAGGCCATAACAGAGATACGAATTGCGAGCAGAGACCAACAAAAGCCCCCGAAAATGAATGGCGGAGCCGCCTTTAGCCATGGCGGCTGCAGGTGATGACGATAATGGGGTCGGGGGTCAAGCACTGGTCAAAGCCAAAATCGGAGGGATGGGGATAATGGGCGTGGCGGGAGGATCCACCTGGCACGTTGTTCAATGTCCTCGAATTAATCCCCAGCGTACACTTTCGGAACGGAAAGGCACAACGGCTGGCGGGTTGTGTTGGTTGCAGGGGTGTGTGGGGGGGGCTACATTTTAATTGAATAACTACACGAACGAAATGTTATGTTGTGTTGATAAGATGATAAGATACGAGAGGCCCCAAGAGAGGCGTGGGGTAGGGATCTGTGCTGTGTCCTCACAAATCACAACGGAAATGAATGGCATTGGGCATTGGGTGTGGATTTTTATTACGCATGGATTTGAAAGTAACAGCCCAGAGCCCAGAGCCATTGCCGCCTGCGTGCGTAGGCAGGCATCCTTTTGTGGCATTGTCTTTGACTTTGCTGCCATATCTCGCTTGAAAATTGAGTTCAGGTTCAGCTCTCTCTCTCTCTCTCCTCTGTATGCCTGTTGTGGGGTTGCTGGGGGTGAGCTCTGTTCTGCTCTATGTTGACACGTTGATACTACTATTGCCATGCACAAAGCCCCGCTAAAGCCCCCACATTTACATACAGATGTGTTCATATTATGTGAGGTGTGGGCGGAGATTGTGAGAACCCGCTCATAACCCTAGATTGCCACTTGATTTGTTCTTCCTTTTTATGCGCTCACATCGCATTTGTTCGGGCTTTTCCCTGCTATTGTTCTGCGCCCCTTCCTCCATGCTCTGCTTTTTTTATGGCCACCCCGCATCGGTGGGATTCCGTGACACTTCTGGCATTGGCATTTGACGGACGGGCACAAGGAATGCAGAGACAAGGAATGGCATCCTAGCTCCTGCTGGCTCCTGGCTGCTGCCTCCAGCATGGGCTGCTGCTGCTGCTGCTGCTGCTTCTGGCATTTGTAATCGCCGCTGTGAAATCTGTGACATGCGATATTTATTATGCAAATATTGGCAGGCCACAAATCCTGTTAGCCTGATTGTATTTTCTGCCTCACAGCCTGAGTGATTGGCTAATCCTTGTACTACCTTGTACCCCTTGTACAGCCGCCCCACCCCCTTGGGGCCATGGCACTGTAACTTCTGCTGCCTGTAGTTTCATTTGTTTTAATTGTCGCTGCCTGTCCAAGGCTCTCTCACAGCGCTCTCTGTCTGCCCGTAAACTTGATTCTCGCTCAGCGTCGTCTCAGATTTTTGTGTGCATTTAATGCGCGACAAAACTTTTACCCCCCCCACCCCATCCAAAATTAGCGTCCATTAATTAGTTGTCTCTGACGGCGGATTGACGTTCCACTCATGGCCTCCACCACCTCACACTCCACTCTGCTGCCTGCTGTTCAATGCTCTTTGCCCTGTGGTCTGTGGCTGCATCCAAGGGGGGGAGGAAAAATCTCTCTTCCAGCAGATAATTTCCGTCGCTTGTCAAAGTTTTGAGCACTGGCTCCTGGCTCCTGGCTCCTGGCTTCACCTCACCGCTGTCTGACATGCTCTGGCATTAATTTATCTTCCACTCCACCCTCCAGCCTCCACTCTCCACGCTCACTCTTGGCATTTGCTTGGAGTTTTGCTTTAATAGATCATTTGCTGCATCATTGCGCATATGCCGCGTCCGGGAGCTAATCCTTCTGCTTGCGATGTCTCGCTGTCTGTCTGATGGAAGGAATGCAGGCAGCATCCCACAGCTGGTTGGTTGGTTCACGCACGCACACCCACGCACGACTCCCAGGGACACACACACACACACACACACACACAAACACACACAGATACATCAGTGTCGGTGCACACGGCTGGCTGCTTGCTGCTTCGCCATTAAATGTGGGCCACCGACAAGCGGAAGGGAAGCCGCTGATGCCACTGCCGCTTCTGCGGGGCTTTCCTTTTTGCCACTGACTCTGCCAATGCCATTGCCGTTAGCGAAATCAGAGTAGTGCCCGGTGCCCGGTGCCCGTTGTCCTTGGCGTCCTTGGTCGTGTGCTGCATGCTGGCGTTTTATTTTTGCTCGCTTTTAGCAGACGGCAGACACCAACGAGCGCTTGATAGTCGCGCGGCCAGTGGCTTTGCCACTATAATTCTATTATGGCGCTGTAAAGCAACTTTATTTAACCCCCACCCCCCCACTGGTTTATGCCTGTCCAGCGTGGAAAACAAAGCAACACAAGACACAGACACAGACCAGCAAATATCTTTGTGGCCAGACTTGGCTGCTCCCCATAGCTGCGCTGGCTGCTGACATTTTGTCCATTTTGTCCATTTTCCACATTTTGCCCATTTTGCAGCTCATCTCCGCTCAGCTCTGAGCTGCGTGAATGTCGCGTTAGCTGTCATCATCAAATTACGCTCGGCTTTTGTGTGTGACTTGAGGCGGCCCAAGGTATGTTCGGGGGCGATGGTAAAGCAGTGCACACACGATCGCGCACTGCCTTACCTGCCAGCGAGGAGGCAGCCGCCGATATCAACCCTAATTAAATTTATTACTAAAACGCAAGCAAGCCTTTTTACTCGCCCTCTCTCTCTCTCTCTCTGGGATCGAGCTCTTTTGCCAGGCAACTCTTTCTCTTTCTCTTGCACTCTCTTCTGGGCGCTGTTCTCTTCTTTCATAAAATCACGCATACGCCGCGTTGATCGCCGCTAGCCGCCAGCTGGCCGAAAGCAAAACGATTCAAAGCGAGGCGAACCTCTGAACGGTACGGAACGGAATAATACGAAACAGCACGGGGCACCACGAATCATCATTGGGCTGCCGTCTGAATGGGATACCCCGCAGAAGCGCCTACACACACAGACAGAGCCACAGACAGAGACCTCTGACTAACCTTGTTCCGCTGCATTATTGCTGCTGCTGCTTCTGCTGCTGCTGCTGCTGACCCATGGCCCGGGTAATGGACGATCGGGAGCGCGAGGCGATTGTCCAGACTCTGCATAAGGATGTGCAGGCGCTCAAGGAGATGGTGCGCAATCGGGAGAGCGAACTGGTCAAGCTGCACCGCGAAATACACAAACTAAAGGTGAGAGAGTCGCATAAAGTCATCCAGTCATCCAGTCCATCCATCGTTGTCTGTCTGTCTGTCTGTTGCCTTTGGCATCGCCGTTTGTTTGGTTTTTGGGCGCTGTGTTTGCTCTGATAAGGCTGGGAAGGGGCGGGGGCTGGGGGCAGGGGGCAGGGGCAGCAACAAACAATTGTGTTGTTGGTCCGTGTCTGTGTTTTTTTTTTCGGACTAATTTCGAATTCGCTTTGTGTATCGCAGAGATACAAAAGTATCTGCAAATAGGCGCTCACCCTCCTATCAATTGCGTCGCACATTGTTGTTATCTTTGATAGAAGAGCAGATACTAGTGGAGGCAGCAGCAGAAGCAGCAGCAGCAGCAGCAACAGTAGTCTGCCGAGATATCAGATACAGCCCATGGCTATGCCCTACCCCACATAGCAAACCACATGGCGGGGTGGGCAGGGTTAGGCATGGTATCTGCCTGCTACTAGATACACTCGTTTCCATCTAACGCTTAGTACTTAAATTTGTACTTGAATTTGTAGCTCTTGATTCTAGCAGAGCTCTGCCCCATTCCCCACCCATTCCGCATCACCCTCTTCCCGCTTGGATCCGCTGTTTGAATTGTAAAGCAGATTTATTGAGCCAAGTGATTAGCACTTCGGGGCGAGATTTTTGTGGAGGGAAACACTGCCACTGAAACTGACTTTGATTCGTAAAGATTCCAGATAGCAGATCTCAGATCTCGCAGCTCTGATCTCTCTCTGGCGCAACAAAAGCCCAAAGAGAATTCAATTGAAAGTCTCTTTCGCGGCGCTCTGCCTCTCATATCATACGCCTCTCGAGTTGCGTCGCTAATTGCCGGATCAGCTCCGCAGCTGCAGCAGCAGCCGCAGATCTTGGGATTTGCTTTGGGCAAACAAACACCACATAGACGGCGGGCAGCACGCGCGCGCTGGAAACACTGGAAGAAGAAAAGAGAATCGAGCGCTGGTAGCGAAGAGCGTTTCTTTTTGTAATGCTAATTTCTATGCAAATAATTTGGAAAACAATGCCAGTAGGAGGTGGGAGAAGGAGGAAGTGGCACAGGCGCAGGCACAGGCCAATGCCAGGCGGGCTTATCTTTGTTTGCCCTGCACGGAGAGAGGTGGAACCGGGCCTGGAGCCAGAGGCGCCTCGGACTTGAGCGTTTATCTATGCGCCGTTTTTTTTTGGGTCACTGATTTCGTTTTGCATTCTATTTGCGGACTCTGATAAGAGAACAAACACACGCAGCCAACACAACACCCAAACACCCAACACCCAACCCACCCATCACGCACCCACTTGTGGCCCAATTCTCATCTCTGCATTCGTCATGTGGGGCCCCCTGTCATCGTTCCATTGATTCCGTGGCACGTGAATGCCAGACACTCAGTCGACTAATTGAGTTTCGGCACAAGGGAGGGATTTTATGCAGGCAGCATCACGCGTTTGCCCATTGATTGGGCCACTCAATTGGCTTGGCTTGGCTTGGGCATGAGAATGGGAATTGATTAGGCAACGCTTTCCAATTGTCGCCAACAGAGCGTGCTCCAGCAGACCACCAACCATCTGAATGTCACCAGAAATGAGCGGAATGAGCGGAACGAGCGGCAGCAGCAGCAGTCCCCCCCAAAGACGAAGCTCTACTCCCTGCCCGAGCAATGTGGCGAGCTGAACAGCACCAGCAGCAAGGTGAATCCTCATCTGTGCACCTCCTGTGGCATGGTGCTGCCCAGCAATCCAGAGTTTGCCATGGAGGCGCTCTCCCTGGGTCCGGCAACAGGCACAGCTGTCACAGAGGCGGCGACAGCAGCGCCCGAGCTGCGACCCAAGCCACTGCCGGCGGCCATCAAGAAGCAGGGCGTCTCCGCCGAGAGCTGCGTCCAGTCCATGCAGCAGTCGTACAGCGCACCAATTCCCAAATACGAAAAGGATTTCAGGTGGGTCCAATATACACTTTCATTTCCGCCTCCTACTAAGCAACGAACTTCACTTTCTTACAGCGATAAGCAACAGATCAAAGATGCCATCATGGACAATGATTTCCTGAAGAACATCGACGCCTCGCAGGTGCGCGAGCTGGTCGATTCGATGTACTCCAAGAGCATAGCGGCCGGGGAGTTTGTCATACGCGAGGGCGAGGTGGGTGCCCACCTGTACGTGTCCGCCGGCGGGGAGTTTGCGGTGATGCAGAACGGCAAGGTGCTGGACAAGATGGGGCCGGGCAAGGCCTTCGGGGAGCTGGCCATTCTCTACAATTGCACGCGCACCGCCTCCATCCGGGTGCTGAGCGAGTCTCGTGTGTGGGTGCTGGACCGGCGCGTCTTCCAGCAGATTATGATGCGCACGGGCCTGCAGCGGATCGAGAACAGCGTCAATTTCCTGCGCTCGGTGCCGCTGCTGCGGAATCTCAGCGAGGAGCTGCTGGCCAAGATCGCCGATGTCCTCGAGCTGGAGTTCTATGCCGCTGGCACGTACATCATTCGGCAGGGCACAGCCGGCGACAGCTTCTTCCTCATCTCGCAGGGCAATGTCCGGGTGACGCAGAAGCTGACGCCCAACGCGCTGGAGGAGACGGAGCTGCGCACACTCGCCCGCGGCGACTACTTCGGGGAACAGGCGCTCATCAACGAGGACAAGCGCACGGCGAACATTATAGCCCTGTCGCCCGGCGTGGAGTGCCTGTCGCTGGACAGGGACTCGTTCAAGCGGCTGATTGGCGATCTGTGCGAGCTCAAGGAGAAGGACTACGGCGACGAGAGTCGCATGCTGGCCATGAAGGCGGCCGCGCACAGCGACGAGGTGCTCGGCGCACATGCCCAGCAGCAGGAGTTCCCCGATTTGCGGCTGACGGATCTCGAGGTGGTCAGCACACTGGGCATCGGTGGCTTTGGGCGCGTGGAACTGGTCAAGGCGCACCACCAGGGCCGCGTCGACACCTTTGCCCTGAAGTGCCTGAAGAAGCGGCACATTGTGGACACCAAGCAGGAGGAGCACATCTTCAGCGAGCGCACCATCATGCTCAGCTCCCACTGTCCGTTCATCTGTCGCCTGCATCGCACCTTCCGGGACGAGAAGTACGTCTACATGCTGCTGGAGGCGTGCATGGGCGGCGAGATCTGGACAATGCTGCGCGACCGCGGCTCCTTCGAGGACAATGCCGCTCAGTTCATCATTGGCTGTGTGCTGCAGGCCTTCGAGTATCTGCACGCACGCGGCATCATCTATCGCGACCTCAAGCCCGAGAATCTGATGCTGGACGAGCGCGGCTACGTGAAGCTGGTGGACTTTGGCTTTGCCAAGCACATTGGCACCAGCGCCAAGACGTGGACGTTCTGCGGCACGCCCGAGTACGTGGCGCCCGAGATTATCCTGAACAAGGGCCACGATCGTGCCGTGGATTACTGGGCGCTGGGCATCCTCATCCACGAGCTGCTGAATGGAACGTGAGTATTGGTCTGCGAGTTTTGGATTTATTTTATTTTATTTTGTATTTTACCTTTTGTTTTGGCTTTTGGCAGTCCTCCTTTTAGTGCCCCGGATCCCATGCAGACGTACAACCTCATTCTCAAGGGCATTGACATGATCGACTTCCCCAAGCACACGTCCCGCTGGGCGGTGCAGCTCATTAAGCGGCTCTGCCGCGACGTGCCCTCGGAGCGGCTGGGCTACCAGACGGGCGGCATACAGGACATCAAGAAGCACAAGTGAGTGGCGGAATCCTTGTCGAATATTGGAGGGCATTGTAACGACTTTTCTTTTCTGTCCAGATGGTTCCTTGGCTTTGACTGGGATGGCCTGGCCAGCCAGCTGCTGATACCGCCCTTTGTGCGGCCCATTGCCCATGCCACGGATGTGCGCTACTTCGATCGTTTCCCCTGTGACCCCATTGAGCCGCCGGACGAGCTCTCCGGCTGGGATGCTGACTTCTAGCCCAAGACACTTTGTTGACCCATGGACTCTGGCAATTAAAGCTTTAGGTAGATGCGAATCACGTCTCCATGATTATGTGACTGTCGTGTATGCTGGTGCTGGCCGCCAGCAGCTGGCACATGTTCATGCAGCGCACAATGAGCGGCGCATAGATCTGCTCACAGCCGGGACGGGGCTCGGCCACGAGCCGCAGATCCTTGGGCAGCTTGCTGAAGAACTGCCCAAAGCTCTGCTTGGGCGGACGGCCTTTGCGGCAGCGGCGACAGCTGCAGGTGGCCTCGCGGTGCTCGTAGAAGGCGTAGCGGGCGCGGTAGGCGCAGCCGAGCAGACAGGGGCCAGGGCCGAGCTTCTCGTAGACGGGGGCATTGAAGACATCGGCCACGATCTGCAGGATGCTGCGGTTACCCGAGTCGGAACCCGCCATAACCACCATGGTGTTGGGTCCGAACTGGAAGCCCAGCTCCTGCGCAATGGCGCGATGATGCATCAGTTGGCCCTCGATGAGGGCGCGGGCCTCCGTCTCGGGCCGATCGAACTCCTCGACGCCGCGGAGCGCATCCTGCGACATGGGATTCAGGCGGGAGTGCCAGCGCAGCGTGCCCTTGGCCTCGGGTACGATCTCTCTGTCGTAGAAATGCAGGGCCGTGTTGCCGCCGTTGCCCATGGGCGTGGAGTCGAGCATCGCATTGAAGCGTTCCCAGTCGCCGTCGGCCAGCTCCTCGCAGAAGGCCTGCCGCACACCCGAGCCGTTGCGGAAGCAGAGCAGACCCAGGTACTCGTTGGGTATGGTGGGGTGGCACAGCACATGGCCCTCGTCCATCTTGCGGTGAGCCGCGCCCAGGTGCACCAGCATGGTGTCGCTGATGTCCAGCGAGAGCATCAGCAGGTCCTTCTCCAGCAGCATGCCCACGTATCTGGACTGGGCGATGCCGATGGCCGGCACCACCATGCAGTCGGGCCGGAAATTCCAGCGCTTCACGTAGTAGTCGGCCACGCGCCCCTGGAGACGCGACGGTGCGATGGGCTTCATCAGCCGCCTGGCCAGGTCTGGGGCACACGCCTCCAGGCACTTCTCGGACCACTTCCGGCTGTTGATGTCGAGCAGGTTCATGCCCGAACCGTCGCAGTAGTCGATGGAGGCCACGCCGCCCACCAGCAGCGAGGAGAGGAAGCTGCTCACCAGCGAAATCCTCGACGTGCGCGCGTAGTGCTCCGGACACTGCTGGTAGACCTTGCGAATCTGCGGGCCAGTGAACCGCGCATAGGCACGCGAGCCCGTGATGGCGGCCAGGTCGGCGGAGCCACCCAACTTCTGCTCCATCTCGAAGCCCTGCGCGCCCGCCGAACCGTCCATCCAGATGGGCGTGCGCGTCAGCTCAAAGGCGCCGGCATTGAGTTGCTCGTGGAGGCGCAGGATCGGATTTAGGTTGCACAGACGCCGCAGTCCGATGTCCGACCAGAAGACGCAGCCGTGCTGTTGGGCCGCTCCCCCGATGGCCGCCACCGAGTGCAGATCCGCTCCCTGGCTGCTCAGACAATTCAGCAGCATGTCCAGGGCCTTGACCCACATAACGGGATTAGCGAGGCTCTCGTCGGGATACGCATCGGTGAGCACTCCTCCCGATGTCTTGAACTCTGGCAGATCCACGTCGTAGCTTATTTTGGCCGTGTACTGCACCTTCATTTGCGAGTCCAGAATCACGGCCCTGAAGCGCTCTGTGCCCAGCTGGAGGCCCAGGTAGGTGTTGCCGCTGTAGTCCTGCTTGCGTCGATGACACATTTTCCATCAATGGTTACGTAGGGTTCCAACAAACTGAGAATTTCAAATAGGAGTAAACTGAATTAAATGTCAGTACAAAGGTTTCAGCAAGAGAGCATCAAAGATCGAGTCGATACGCGCGCGGCGCAGAATTTAACACTGCCACGGGCTTGCTTTATGGCCACAGGGGAAAAACTGTCTAACAAAATGATGCGATTGCTTCTAAATAGCTGCTTGTAGGATTGTATTTATTTATGAAGCTTTTCGCTAATTTGTAAGCGCTAAATTTCCTGGCCAGCCTGCGAATGTTTCTCGACTCAACATGGCGACAGCTGAAAGAGAGACAGAGATAACATGAGACATGTGTGTTAGTATTAGTATTTTGTTGGCACACCAACACGCACAGCTGACTGAAAGTATGAAATCTCTGGCGCATTCTGCCGGTTTCTCTGCCGCTGCGCTGCCATCAGTGCTGGCCTTTTAGCTTATCTCAGGCTAGATTTTGACATCGATGGTTTTGTAGCCATATTGTGGCAAAAAATGTTTTGTTGGCCTAAAAATGTGAATACGATGTTACACCATACGTCGTACACTTAAAATATTAAAATTTAATTGCAAAAATTGAAAACATAACTGCCATGAGGAATAGCTAATAGTGCACGATTGTATTAAGTTATCGATGGTATATAATAAAACCTCTAAAATATATTTAGTCTTATTAAGGTTTTTAAGTTTTTGTATTCGGCAAAGAAATTTTGTTTTCAATCTAGCGAGATTTTGTTTTCCAATGAAGCTAGTTTGAAGTTGGGAATTGTAGGCAGCACTGTGCAACAAGGAAGACACGCTTAAGCTATAAATTTTTCTCTGCCGCGACGTCAGCAGAGCAGAATTTTCTCTGCTGGTACGTCATCAGGCAGAATAATGCCGACTGCGCTGCCCGAAAAGGCCCTGCCTCTGCTATAAAAGGCTCGACCCGACTTATTTCATTTAGTCGAAATTTTTTCGTCTCCTGTTATACATATATATTTAATCTTATTTTTTTAAGTTTTTGTATTAATTTTAATGCGAAAAATAAGCTAAAGTTAATTATACCCGCACTCAAAAAAGAGTTAAGGGGTATATTAGATTTGTGGTAAAAGTGGATGTGTGCTACGCAGAGAAAGAAACGTTTCCGACCCCATAAAGTATATGTATATATTCTTGATCAGGGATTCAATGAGAGTGGACAAAATATTAATCTCTATGAAAGCTTCCCATCTGTTTCTGTTTTTATTACATATTTTCTAAGAATAAAGTAACTGATATATGAAAAATATCTGGTTTGCTTTGCTTTATTCGTTTAGCTGTTCTGGGCATACATATATATAATATTACAATTTATATAGATATATTTTGTGTCGGCCATCACCGCCGATTCAATACACATAAAATTTATAGATCTTGGCCACGTAACGAGGGGCAATCCGCATCCGGAATGCACAGGGCAATGCTCATCCCGACGAACAGGAATACCTGCACTGTTGCCACCAGGATTTTCTTGAGCATGCCCCACTCTGATTCGTCCACTCGCGGTGCCGCTCTGACCTTCGGTGGCGGTTCCTCTTCCTGGGTGCCGCATGGCACCTGTGGGGGAATGGGCAGCGAGGATATGGCTGTCAACAGAAGCTTTTCCACCATCGGCGTCCATTCATTCAGTGCCGCTCTGACCTTTCTGGAAGACTTTGCCCGTCCCCCGGCCAAACGTGTCGTCCACTTCTTGGCCTTGAACCGAGGCCCTCGGGCACTTGTCGATGGCGGTTCCTCTGTCTGCGTGCCGCATGACACCTGTGGGGGAATGGGCAGCGAGGATATGGCTGTCACCACCATCGGCGAAGTGCATCTTTTCTGTGCTGCTTTCGTAGGCTGAGTGAAATACATTCAGGTGTATCTATCAGAAGTTGCTGAGACTTCGAAGTCAGACGTGTGGCGTTCTGCTGCTTTCAATTTAAACGATAATACAAAACATTCTCCCAAAACATATACTGACAAAAATAAATAGATTTCCAGTCCACGTTCGAACGAAGTCACGCAACTGACCCGATCATGCCAGCAGCCCGATCTGCTGCGGCTGCGCCCTATCCGGCAACTGCTCCACATCCAACCGCTGGCCAGCCAATCAGGAATTTTCTGCCTCGCGTCGCAGGACTCAGCCGGCGAGGTCAGGCCCCCGATCTCCCACCAAAGGTGAAGCAATTGAAGACACCAGTGGCTCGGCCAGTGCCCAGCAAGAAGGCGTCCCCTCATCCTCACGAAGCGCCGAGTCTGGCGGTGCTGGGCAGCGCCAATCCCAGCACCAGTGGCAGTGGTGAGACCGGCGATCAGATCAGTCTGGCACATGGCCGGCGCAGGGGGGAGGTGCACCACTCCAGCTTCGTGTACCTGTCGGCGACGGATGCCAATGCCGAGGTGCTCCGATGGATGATGGTGGACTCCAGCGATAGCTGCACGCCATGCGACAGCTTCAGATCCATCAGTCCCTCCATGCAGCCCTGCTGCGGGACCAAGCGCAAGCAGAACCGTCAGAAGGATGTGAACGTCAGCCAGCTCGGATTCCGGCACGTTGAGCACGTGGCGAGCGTAATGCAGATGCCTCGCATCAGCGCCAGGTCGCTGTCTATCGGCACGGCCCATGAGTATTCTATAGAGATGCGCAGCTTCAAGGACCGTTTGAAACCGGCAAACTCTGAGCGCAATGCCGATTCAGGTGCTGCTTCTCGTGCTGGTGGCGTGTGCCGCTTCTCGAACGCCAACGGGCTGCTGGGCCAGCTGCGTCCTGTGGTGAGCGCAGCACAAGCCATCAAGGACAGCGACAGCGACAGGGACAGCGACAGCGACAGGGACAGCTTGACTCGTTCCGTATCGCAGCTCCAGCTGGGATTGGAATCGACCGGCAGTCGGGACACGCAAGAACAATTTTGCCAATTTTTGGCCTCATTGCAATCGATGGGATCGATGGAATCGATGTTGTCCTGCTTGAGCTCCGAGGCTAACGCAACGCCGTCGATGGGGTCCTGCTTGAGCTCCGACGGAACCGCAACACCGTCGATGAAGTCCTGCCTGAGTCCCACTAGCCTCTCGGCCCCGTCGACGCACTCGATGGAAACTCAAATGCCCGAAAACGAAACTCCCGACAATGGATGGACTTCGCCGATGGTGGAGCAGCTGCTGGTGACAGCCATATCCTCGCTGCCCATTCCCCCACAGGTGCCATGCGGCACCCAGACAGAGGGACAGGCATCGACAGCCCGTGGGCCTGGGACGACACGTTTTGCCGGGGGAGGGGCAAAGTCATCCATCAAGCTCAACGCGGCAACGCAAGTGGAACCCTCAGAGCGTGGCTTGGAACTGTTCAAGCAAATACTGGTGGGAGCTGTGCAGGTGATCCTGTGCCTCGGTATGGGCATGGCCCTGGGCTTTCCGAATGTGCAGTGCCCCTCGTTACGAGACCAGGATCCATATGATCCATATGATCCATAACCAGTGATTGTTCCTTCTTACGTTGTTTTTTTTTATCCAAATTTTTTATAGTTAAGCGAAGGTACTGGGCACTTCCAACCGATTCGTTTCGTTTCGCTGCGGTGCGGTGACAGCAGCAAACAAAAACAAAAAACAAAAAAAAAATCAAAATTTTCCAGTTTTCATTGTTTTACGCCCCCACACAGAAACAATATCCCCAGGACAGACAGATCAATTGTTAATGTATAAATTGTATGTGTATTAAATCGGCAGTGGCCAAAAAATCATATCTATATAAATTTTAATATTATATATATGTAAGTATTAAGTTTATTCAAGCATTTATTTATGTACAGCAAGTGTGTCTATGAGTATATGTAATATGTACGTGTGTGTGTGGGTGTGTGTTCGAAACCATAACCTTTTTTTTTTTTTATTTGAATAACCATTTGCTTAATATTTAAGAGGACTCGCATTTACCTTTACCCGTTGCGGCAGCCACTCTAGCCCAGTTCGTGGCGTGAAGAACACAACTTTTGTATCGGGCAAGCTGTGTAAGCTACGGATAGCGGATAGCGGGTATATGCGGGTAAGCTGTGTGTATCGGGTAGCATTTAGCGGGTGGTAAGCGGTTAAGCGTGGGCTCGTTTGCGCGCATCAGACGCATCGAGTGCGTCGACTGGGCCGAGAGGCTAGGGGGACTCAGGCAGGACTTCATCGACGGCGTTGCGGTGCGATTGAGGCTCAAGCAGGACCCCATCGACGGCGTTGCGCTAGCATCGGAGCTCAAGCTGGACAACATCGTTGGCAGCCCGTTGGCGTTCGAGAAGCGGCCGAATCTCTGCAACCTGGGACGAGGCGTTACTCTCGAAACGTGCTCAACGTTCCGGAATCCGACCTGGCTGACGGTCTGCCGGTTCTGCTTGCGCTTGCGCCTGCAGTTCACACAGTAGCAAGGCTGCATAGAGGGACTGATGGACTGTGAGGCTGTCGCATGACGTCCAGCACCTGCTCCAGTTGGTCTTGATTGTTGGTGCCGTTGGCGGCCCCCCTCCTTCAGTGCGGTCCCCCGGATTGATAATGGCCCGTATTTTGGCCTGCATCCGTTCGTTCATAAATCTCAAATTCTCCATCTTCCTTTTCAGATGTCTCTTCCTGTGCTCCTTTTCAGCAGCGGAGGACTCTGAGGGCCCCAGCTGCTTTGTCGTGGCCTCTTTTCGGCTGGGTCTGGCCGTCTCAATGCCAACGACCGTCTCGTTCAGCAGCTGGTAGCTATCGTTTAACGCCTCCACGTCCCCTTGGTCCCAGGAAAGTTCGCTCCAGCTCGCGGCAGCGGACATCTGATTTGCATTGATATGGGTGGCACGACTGTTCGTGCTTCTGTGTGGATAGGAATCGTCGCTCCGTCGGGGCACCTCGGCCTTGGCATCCGAAACCATCAGGTTCACGAAGCTGTTGTGAGGTGTGCAATACCCCCTGCGCTGGCCATGTGCCAGACCGATCTGAGCGACCAGTTCGCCGGTCTCCCCATTGCTACTGGTGCTGGGATTGGAGCTGCCCAGCACCGCCGCACTCGGCGATTCTTGAGGATGAGGTAATGCCTTCTTGTTGGGCACTGGCCGAGCCAGTGGCGTCTTCAATGGCTGCACCTTTTGTGGGCGGGCCTGACCACGGCGGCTGAGTCCTGCGACGCGAGGCAGAAAATTCCTCGTTGGCTGGCCAGCGGGTGGATGTGAAGCAAGTGCCGGATGAGGCGCAGCCGCAGCTGAGGAGATTTAGAATCTAAATGGTACATGTACAATCTACATGTTAGATGTAGAATATACATTGTAGATGTAGATAACAGATGTAGCAAAAAAAATGTAAAATGTACATTTTTTTTTTTTAATTTTAATTCTCAAAAATGTATATACTGCCCGAGTACGGGTATAAGTAGAATCGCTTCCCCAGAAGCGACTCACACGTTCCTTCTCGTTTTTTGATATTTTTTGTTATAATTTTCCAGTCTCGGCTAACGGTATATTTTTATACCCACGGAACTGGGTAACGTCACCGGCAGCAACGTTCGTCAGAAGCCTCCGCGGACTTATAGAAAACAAAAAAATCAGGAAATGTTTTTACATTAAATAATTTTGAAAATGAACGTATTTCATATACATATGTATGTACATGCACAACAAATTTGTATGCAGATAGTCCTAGCCAATTCGCAGAGTTATGCACTTTTGTACCGCAACTTCAGGTCATATTTTAGTTATAACTTTTAAACGATCGATCGATTATTGCCATTTTTTTTGGTGTATTTACGGCAACCAAGTTACTATTCAAGAGGGATATCCATTAGTTTGTACTAAAAATTGTCGTACGAATGCAACGTAACGCCGGAATGGAACAGCCCATAAATGTACCTAAGACATACCGAAAAGTTAAGAAATAAAAGCTGATTAAGCCCAGAGATCGACCCACAGGTGGCGATATTCCGTCAGCTTCTGGGCGGGCTTCTCGCCCCGAATGGTGGTCTGCAGGGCGTCGGAGAGGGCGCGACTGGCGGTGCCGAAGGCATTGCAATTGATGTACCACAGGCTGCAGAAGCAGTTCAGCATCGCAATGATGGGATAGTAGGCGAAGGTGTACCACAGCCGAAAGTCCGGCTGCAGGAAGTACTGCGACAGATTGATGGCGATGCTCAGCACCCACGAGAAGATGCACAGCGTCCAGGTGAGCGGATACAGATTGGGAAAGACAATCGGGCTGCCCGTCGTCTTGAAGAACTTGTACTGGTAGTTGGTCCACATGTTCTTGAAAATGGCCACCTGGGGGCCGTGCCGCCAGCTGGCCACCGGCAGCAGAAAGTTGGTGAACAGCAGACTGATGAAGATCACGTTGTAGATGGCCTCGTCGAAGCGCTTGTCCGGGCTGGTCACGAACTTCTTGACGCGCTCCCGCAGCACCAGCACCACCACCGTCGTCTGGCAGCTGTAGATGAAGATGGCCCACATCACTTGCTTGGAGCCCCAGGAGTAGCCGGTGCGCGGCAGATTCTTCACCGGCGGATTGCGATGGATGGGCATCACGCCCATTATCTGGAACAGCACCAGCAGACTCTTGGTGGTCTGGTAGAACGAGTCGTGCCTGTCCAGCTCCAGCGGATCGTCGACCGTCTCCTGCTTGCGCACGTACACCTCGTCCATGGCATCGCCCCGTGCCATTAGCTTCAATTTCTCGCGGTAGCGCATCTCATCCTCCAGGAATTGGCGCTGATTCGGATTCAGCATGGGCGACACCTTTGACGGCGGCGTCAAACCGCGACTGACGGCCCAGAATGACATGATGAACGGAACGGTCAGTGGATAGGGTCCGGTCAACGCTTTTATAGACCCAATCCCCAAGCACAGTCCAGAGGCACGAGGCAATGGCAAGGCCTTGCTATTGACTTTCAATTGAAAGGCAAACAACAAAGGACTCTCGGACACGCCCGGAGGCGTCTTCCATTTGCTTGCTCTCCATTAAATATGCCCAAGACCCAGGATATGAGCTCTGAGGGTCACCCCAGCAGCAGTCACCCCAGCAGCAGTTTGTTGTGGTCATCCATTTGAGGCTCTAGATTTTGCTGACACCGCCAACGAAATGGGTAGGACCCCGACCTAGGGGACAGTCGCAAAGGAAACGGGCCACTGCTTGCTGTGGGATCTGTGTGCTCTGTGGGTGGGTGCCCGAGCAGAAGGTACATAAAATGCGCTTAATTTGCCGGAAATGAAAGTTTAACGATGTGTAAATGCTTACGAATGCCGATAGAGGCTCGCACTAATGACCAATAAAAATGTGACCACCCCCCCCACACCCCACACCCATCGGGTGTGTGTCCCATGTACTCCATGTGTGCCTCTTCCTGTATCCTGTACCCTGTCTGTCGCAGTAGTTGCTTGACTTTTGATCTATTTCTGCATCAGATAGCCTCGCTCTTAAGGCGCTTAAAGCTCAGGATCCCCAATTCAGAGAAGAGTTTCATGGGCAGTGGGGAATGACAGCAGCAGCAGCCTCTCGCTTCGGCTCCTGCAGCAAATCTCCCCTTGAGAATGCGAGGAATTTGCGAACAGCAGAATGGTGGCAGGGGATGGGCTGCGAGCCAACTGTTGCCGACCTTTGACATCCGCCAGTTGAGCCTGCCGCCCCGCCTGCTGCAAGTGGCTTTTCGTATAGTTCTTTCTTTTTTTTTGTTTTTTTGGCAAGGAAACTCATTTTCATTGCACATAGTTTGGCGCAAAACTCTGGTCGTTTAATGCGAAAACTTTCAAGACAAACGACAAGCGAGAGTGCATAAATAAAGTGTTTAGCTTGTTTTTTATGTACCTCATACGAAGGGGAACACACCAACAGCATCCTGCCAGCCTTCGTGTGACATAATTGCAGCCAGGCAAGAGTCGGCACAAGGAAGGATGTGGATGGGGATGTGGATCTGCAGAGTTTTATAAAAAAATAAAAAAAAGCGCTGGCAAAGCAGCATCCTTTGATGCGGCTTAAAGAGCTGTAGAGCAGCGGGCCGGGATTTGCTTTTTCCCGGGTACGTGCCGCTTCCTCTTGCTCGGGCTCCATTGGGTGTCACAGGAACGAAACGCAACGAACGATTCTCCTCCCTCGCTCATGGCCGCCAGCTGTCAGTCGCGTGGGCGGCCTTGCAGCAGCAGCAGCAGCAGCAGCGAACAAGTTACATTTCGATTTCCGAATACCTACCCACCAGTCCCAGGAGCCACACTGCCACACTGCCACATCCCACACCCATTTGCTACTCTCCCTGCCATCCATCAGAGGACTACATAATGCAAGTGTCTTGTGCGAAATCTGTCGCAGCAACGAGATATAAAATGTAAGAAAAATTCACTTCTTGCGGGAAAAACTTTTATTAATATCATGTTGGAGGGGGATTTTGAGCCAGGCCAAAAATGGATTTTAGATTGGCTCCTAGGAGTGGCATCCTAGGCAGCCTCAGTAGTGCTGCTGCTGCTGCTGCTGCTGCCCTCAGTGGAGCTGCTGCTGCCCTCAGTGGAGCTGCTGCTGCCCTCAGTGGTGGTGCTGCTGGTGGCTTCAGTCGTTGTGCTGTTGCCATTGTCGGGCAGCGTGCCATTTGGTGGCAGACCTCCCCATTGTGGTCGTCCTCCCTGCTGTGGTCCTGGTCCCTGCGGCCTGCGGCCTTGTGGCCTGCCCTGCTGCTGACCATTCTGTCGTGCACCGCCTCTCTGCTGACGTCTGCCCTGAGCAGCTGCCACAGCAACCAAAGCAAGGAGCACAATCAAGATGTAGAAACGCATATTCAGAGCTGTGTCGTGTTGGTCGTCAAGTTCAAACTGAAACCGAAACCGAAACTGTGATAACTTTCACTGCCATCGGAGCGCTTTTATACCCTTTTTCTTATGCCACAAGAAATTCTAGCCCCCGTATTGCGTGTGACGTTTCACAGCTCAAATAAACGTCAGGTGTAATTTGGAAAAACCGGTAGATAAACGTAGTCTGCAACTTGCTCTTGACTCTGTCTGTCTGTCTGCCTGCCTGTCCGCTCATTCATTCCCTCATTCTGTTTGCTGCTTTTCATTTGCGTCATCGATTCACAACAGCAGCAGCTGCTGCTTGATATGTTTTCAATAGCAATTGGGAGGGGTTCCCGAGGTCTGGTCGCTGGTCTCTGCTCTCTGGTTTCTGTTGCTGTTGATATTTATGTTTGTCTATTTGTCACCACCACCCGCCCCACCCGTTTGTATGTTTAGGAGGGGGTTTTTCTAGCTAAATGGAAACGTTTCGATTCGATTCCCAGTGCTGGCTGCTGGCTGCTGGCTGATTGAATTCCGGTTGGTGGCCGACCAGCGGATGCAATTTATGAGTTTTCATTGCATGAAGGATGCAGCATGGCAGGACCAATATATAAATGTTAATTTGATTTGCCTCGGTTCCATGGCTGTTGGTCTAAGGCAAATACACAGAGTGAGAGGGAGAGGCAGAGAGAGATTGGGATTGGGATTGGGATATTGCACTCTGGATAATGCAATTAAATATTAATCATACGCCTGTGGCCAGCATGGGATATGTGTGTGTAGGCATATGTTCAATGCATGGCATGCTCTCCATAGTTACAGCACAGCATTGGCAAATTAGCAAATTGAACATAAATTGACTAATTAGTGCTAAAAGCAAGTGCCCGCCCGCCCAATGTTTGCACTGGCCCAAAAGCAGGACTGCCGCTGCTCCTCCCACTCCTTGCAGCGAGAATATTGCATGGGCAGGTTGGCATAAGTCTGAGACAATTGCACAGAATAATTATAGATTAAAGATTATAGATTATTAATTATTACTAATTATAGAAGGCAACCAAATCGAAGCAACAGCATGTGAGGGAAAGCAGCAAGTTTTGGGTGCAACATTTAAGTGTTTTATGCAATTGTTTTGAGACTTAATAATAGAGCCAAAGCCTGTTTAATGAAACCACTCTGTAGGCGGCAGTGCAGGCCCTTGCCTTACCTTCTTGTCATATATACCCTGCTGTTGTCCAGTGTCCATTGAAAGCGACTCTCGAACATTGCTGCAGTGGTCGGAAATAATGTTTGCAAGTGCGAACAATGTTCAAAACTAATTTCCCTTTTTACACTACCCCTCTACGCCTCTCCCTGTGACCCCCCCCCTTTTTTTGTGGTAGCTGGAAATTAAAATTAAAATGAAATTTTCATTTGCATTGTAAAATTTATTGCTTTAATGAGTGCTGTTCGGGTGCTGGCTGTCTGGCTGTCTGGCTGCTGCTGCAATTGCAATTAAAACAAACAAAAAAAAATAATCTGAACAATTGTGCAATGCCTCTCCTCCCTTCCTCCCTCCCTCCCGTTTGTTCTCTGGCTGCACATTCTCTGGCTGATTGGCCCACTGGCCTGCTGTTCTACTGTTCTATAATCCCTGCCCGAATGCATTTTCTCCATATAATTTTCCATCAGAGCTTAGCCACTGAGCTCTGGGGCCCGATGGGCAAGATCTTCAAAAATTTAATTAAAAAACACTTTGCATATTTTGCCTGGATTGATTTTTGGTTTTTCTCTGCCAGAGACAGAGAGCCAGAGCTAGAGCTAGAGCCAGCGTCAGAGCTCTTAGGGCATTCATTCTTTCGATTGAATGCCTCTCTCAGTCACGCCTTTTGTGCCCCCTACGGCATTGACAGTTTAATCAGCCGCATTGATAAGCGAACAGTTGCCTCCATTCAAATTGTGGGCGGGGCGGACTCTCCGCCACTCACTGTGTCATGGCATGGCATGGCAGGGGGGCGGAGATGCCGGTGGCGGTGCCTTGGATTGAATTGGATTGTGGGTCTTGGTAATTGAAAGGCATACAAGGCGCCTGCCTAGTGCATCAATTAGTAAAGCAAACGCAGCCACTCAGCCGTCAAAGACAAAACGCAAACGATTCGAAACCATTTTGCCACAGTCACAGTGTTGGCGCACAGTGGCTGCCTGCTGACTGCTGCCTGCTGACTGCTGACTGCTCCCTGTTCCCGGCTGCAACTCTCCTTTCTTCGCCTCCTGCTGGCACTGCTGCAAGTGCATTTTATTAGTCGGCGTTTGTCGCGCACTCACCCCACAAGTTTTTATCTCTCGGCAAACAGTTGGCGTCGCAATTGCCGCACAAAAGACACAAAAAATGTTGGGTAAGAAGTGACGCCATTGTCCTCAATGGATAGTCTCCCAAATGCCACTATAACACCACTCCCCCGCCCACACCCAACTGCCATGCCGTTGCAGTTGCCATGCAAATACGAAGGGCATTAAAGGATTTCTGCAACTGCCACAGCACTAGAGTGTGCCCGCCCCCCCCACTTCCACCCGTCCACACTTGCTATTTGCCCATCCATTTTGCCAGTTTTGCCAGTTTTGCATTCTCCATTTGTTGGTATCGCTGTCCTTTATTGACTTTGCGCATTTAACTTTTAATTTTCACCATGTTAAAGAGAGGAAGAAGAGAAAGCAGTCTGGTGGAGTGGTTCATGGGGATGGAGTCTCTGTGCATAGACAGATACAGAGGAATACGATGGCTGCTGCTGCTGATGATGGAGAAAACTTTTCTTCTACCTTAAATGTGCTGAAAACGCTTAAAGCGTTTCGTTGTGTGGGGGTCTGGGGGGGTTATAACACCTTTTTTAACCTTGTTTTCCGGCGTGAAATTATTTTCACACGAAGCTTTTTAGAATATTCCTTGCCAGCGGCGCACATTCTCATCCTCAGCCTCATCCTCAGCCGCATTTGCTGCTGCCATCCTTGTGGCTGCCATAGAAATGGAGTGCCGTGTAAATATGGCAGCAATGGCTCCTCATTTTCACTGCTCCCCCTACTACGCTGCTCCCCCTGCTACGCTGCTGCGGATGACATGAAGCGGCTTGTGCGCATTTTGGGGCTTAGCTTTTGTGCCGCCCACGCGGCGTATACTTAACCGTAGAGCCGCTGCAACGCGAGCCCCCTCGTTGCATTCACATTTTGTGCCGCTTAATCGGCAAAAAAAAAAGAAGAAAAATAAGAGCAGGCTGCAACGAGCGAGCTGCATGCAATATTTATGATTATTTTTTGCAATTTCTCTTCGATCGGGGGCGAGCGAAGCGGCGGCCATGGAAAATTTCATTTACTGCCATTCTGTTCATTTTGCTGTTTAGCCGGATAGGCGAGGGGGCAGGGCGGGGCGGGGGGTGTTGCATGCCATTGCCAGGTTGTTGCAGGATGTGTTTTTCTTTCAATTTGTGCAGCAAGCAAAATAAGTTAAAGCAAAGTGCTGCTGCTGCTGCTGGGAGAGGTCTTCCTGGCTGCGGATGGAATCGTGGGAGTGTAACAACTAATTCCAGCTGAGGATAATATGATTTCTATGACAGAGACACACACAAGCCCCAGCTCTGGGGTTCGACCCTGCTGCTCCTTCGGAGATTACAGCCAGCAGCCAGCAGCCAGAGCTACAAGTCTCACATTTCTCTTCCCGTGTGTGTGTGCTAGTATTTCCTGTGTATTTATTTCCCTCTCTTGCAGTGGCTTTCATTTTTCAAAAGCGCGAATTTAGTCTGCCAACTCATGTGTGTGTGTGTGTGTGCCAGTCCCTCCCCCCTACACTCTGCCACCTCTGCCCCTTGCTCCTTTCTTTCCTTTCCTTTCTTTCGCCCGCTCTCTGATGAATGTGTGCCGCTTGGTTTATGTGTTTCACTAACCAATTTGCGCTCTGCGCTCGACGTGATTTACAGTTCCCCAGCGAGCTGTTTTGCTTGCCACATACATGTACGTGTGCCACATCTATGTGTGTGTGCGTGTGTGGCAGTCAGGGGCACTTGCCACTCGGCTTAACCCACGTAGGGCTAGAGTCTGCTGATCGAATCGAATCGAACCCGAAACCAAAGCACTTCACTCAACGATGTTTATGGACAATCAGAAAGAAATTATTAGAGCACAAGGAAAGTGGCCTGAAGGTTGGGGCAGGTCAAGGGATGCCCGGAGAGTAGGAGAGCTGCCGCTGGAGTCAGTTTTGCCAACTGGTCAAGGGTCAATAAAAACACCTTTAAATTTAGTTAAAGCTGCTGCACATTTAATTATGGAATTATTTTCAGCCAGCCAATAAAATCTCTTCTCCTCTGCACACAATTTTCCCCCCTGAATCCTCATACTGATTTCTGAGCCAACGATCGCTGATGCTTTTACTTTTATTTGCTCTTCCATTCAGGCCACAAGGTGTTAAGGCAATATTAAGCCCTGTGCCCCAGAGTCCAGTGCCACAGTCGTCCTGCTGCTGCTGCTGCTGCTGCCAGAGAGCTGCCTTTAAACGTCTGCTGCCTGGCGGTGCGGCGAATGCAAATCAATTGATCATTTCGCTGGCCAACAGCTGCAGCAGACGAGACCAACTCCAACTGCAATTCCCCCTTGCTGCTGCCCGCCCCCATTCCCACCACCCTGCTGCCAAAGCACACTTCAGTGCACACTCGAAGTGGCCGCTTCGCCGAACAGCAGCAGCAGCAGCAGAGTGCAGAATGAAGACGACTTTGTGCTGCATTTCAGTAGCAACCGCAAGGGGGTTGCACTCCCCCATTATGGGGCACTCTCCAGCACTTGGCATCCATTCAGCAGTTGCCGTTTGTCGCAAATATCCAACGGGGAGCAGCAGCAGCAGCAGCAGAGTGTTGCTCAAAGGAAAAGCGAGGCAAAACTCACATAATTAAACGATTTGCAGGCACTAGGAGTAGCAGCAGCCAGTACAAGACAGCAATCCGCCCTTTGGGGGCAGCATGTAATAAATTAATGCGCAATGAACTACGGCAGAGGGGCATGGGGGGCGGGGGTGGCATGCATCATAAATCA